TCCCGGTGTGGGAGGCTTGTCTAGATGGGGGGTGGCTTCAGGGTCTGTGGGTCTGCCGGCCCTCCTCGCTTTTACAGAAGCCTGTTCCCTGAGTGTCCCCCTGCCCCCCCAGGGCTAATACTGGGAGGAGCGCCGGAGAAGCACCTCACTATACTCACTGGTCATACATAGGGGGCTTCAGGAGCAAGACCGTTGGTCATGCAGGGGCCCGGAGAGGAAGTGGGGCTCTCACAGAAGGAATCTAGCTCCCATGAATTGTCAGGTCCCTGGACTGGGACTCAAGCCAAGGCTGCAGCCCTAGAAGCCTGCACCCTGGGGAAGTCGTCCTGCCATCTGTCACCCCTCCACACAGGTCTCCCTCCTGAAAGGAGAGTCTCGCAGCTCTGTCCTCTGCAAGGGGCCTCACTCCACCTCAGGCCTCTCCTGAGCGCCTGGGACAGCTCATTGGGAATCAGCCTCAGGGACTCTTCGGGCTCAGTGTCCTAGGCTGGAGCCTCCATCCTGTAGCCACCCTCCAACTCAGAGTCCTGGCTGCAGGATCTGGAAGAGTCGAGGAGAAATGGAGAGGCTGGCAGTTCCCAGGAGGAGAAATGGTGTCAGGAGCCATGAAAGCAAACCGCAGCAGCTGAGGCATCCTGGATGGCGCGGCCAAATTTCAAGAGTCTTGAAAGCTGTAAAAAGGGGAGAGACATAAAGAAAGGAATTTCAGCAGGAGCTGAAGGCAGGCAGCTTAGTGAGTGGGGTGGTCAGGGGTCACCTCTTTGCCTCTCCAGGCTTGCTTCCTCCCCTCCCCTCCACTGTCCTTTCTCGCCTGTCTGACCACTAGCCCCCTGCTGCCCTCTGCCTCCCTCTGAGCCATCCTCTTCACCACCTGCCCTGGACATACTTCTAGACTGCTCATCGGACAAGCCACATCCAATGCTAGCCCTTGGTGGCTGTGCCAGGCCTATGATGGGAACTGCTGCTGACCAGGGTTGAGTCCAGTGGATGTGTGGGGTAGACAGAATAGTGGACCCCAAAGATGTCCACACCCTAATCCCCAGAGCCTGTGAATGTTACCTCATATGGCAAAAGAGACTTTGCAAATGTGATCAAAGATTATGAGATAGGGAGATTATCCTGGATTATCCAGGTGGGCCCTAAATCTAATCACAATGGTTTTTATAAGAGGGAGGCTGAGAGCCAGAGTCAGAGAAGGAGATGTTATGACAGAAACAGAGGTCAGAGTGATGTGGCCACAAGAAATGGAATGAGAGTAGCCTCCAGAAGCTGCAAAAGGCATGGAACAGATTCTTCATTGGAGCCTTCAGAAGGAATGCAGCCCTGCCTACACCTGATTTTACCCCTAAGACTCACTTTGGACTTCTGACCTCCAGAACTGTGAGATAATAAATGTGTATTGTCTTAAACCACTAAGTCTGTGGTAATTTGTTAAGCAGCAAGTAGAAAACGAACACAGTCTCCATGAGGCACTGGGAGGTCTCTCATTTTCCAGCTCTGACCTGTCTCCCTTTTGCCAGAGCGAGGGCATGCCTCAGGCCCAGAGCCTCTGCCTTCAACATTGTCAAGCACAGTTTAACCACAGTGGTCTGTCCAGGTATTTACACCTGGAGTTCTCTTCTTTTTCTGGCTAGCTTTATGTTTTGGTTGAGGCTGTCAAGTTTCCTTATTAATAAATGGATCTAAGCAAAAACAAATGAGTAGATGTTAATCAGTGGTTCTCAACCAGGGAGAGATTCTGTGCTCTGGAGAACACTTGACAATGTTTGGCAACACTTTTGTTGTTACACATAGGGATGGGGGTTCTACTGGCATCATTAGGTGGAGGCCAGGGATGCTGCTAAACATCCTAAAATGCACAGGGCAGCCCCACCCCCACCCCATGACAAAATGTCAGCAGTGCTCAGGTGAAGAAACCCTGGTGTAAAGAAAATCAAGAGGGGCTGGCCCCGTGGCCAAATGGTTAAGTTCATGCACTCTGATTCGCCTGCCCAGGGTTTCGCTGGTTCAGATCCTGGGCGCGGACATGGCACCACTTGTCATGCCACGTTGAGGCAGTGTCCCACATGCCACAACTAGAAGCACCCACCACAACTAAAAAATATACAACTACGTACTGGGGGGATTTGGGGAGAAAAATGGAAAAAAAAAATTGGCAACAGTTGTTAGCTCAGGTGCCAATCTTTTTTTTTTTTTTTTTTTAAAGATTTTATTTTTCCTTTTTCTCCCCAAAGCCCCCAGGTACATAGTTGCATATTTTCAGTTGTGGGTCCTTCTAGATGTGGCATGTGGGATGCTGCCTCAGCATGGCCTGATGAGCGGTACCATGCCCACGCTAGGATCAGAATCGGCAAAACCCTGGGCCACTGAAGCGGAGCGCAGGAACCTAACCACTCGGCCGCAGGGCCAGCCCTCAGGTGCCAATCTTTTTTTTTTTTTTTAAAAAAAGAAAACTGAGAAGTACAGGTGCCACATGCAAGAGGCAAAGGTCATCATTTGGGCAAAGTGGGACTGGGCTTGGAGTTAAGTGAAAAAAGCCAGTCATAAAAGGCTACATATCCTATGATTTCCTTTCTATACAATGTCCAGAATAGGCAGATCCATTCAGAAAGTAGAGTAGTCGTTGCCAGGGGCTGGAGGAAGGGGGAAATGGGAGTGACTGCTAATGGGTATGGGGTTTCTTTTTGGGGTGATGAAAATGTTCTGGAAATAGACAGTGGTGATGGTTGAACAACTTTGTGAAAATACCAAAAACATTGAATTATATACTTTGAAACAGTTTTATGCTGGGTGACTAATATCTCAATTTAAAAATTACAATAGGGGCCGGCCCGGTGGCACAGCGGTTAAGTTCGCACATTCCACTTCTCTGCGGCCCGGGGTTTGCCGGTTCGGATCCCAGGTGCGGACATGGCACCGCTTGGCAAACGCCATGCTGTGATAGGCATCCCAAGTATAAAGTAGAGGAAGATGGGCCTGGATGTTAGCTCAGGGCCAGTCTTCCTCAGCAAAAAGAGGAGGATTGGCAGTAGTTAGCTCAGGGCTAATCTTCCTCAAAAAGAAAAAAAAATTACAATAAATAAATAGAGTGGTCAGTCGAGGCCTCAAGGAGAAGGCAGAATTCAAGGGAATACCTGAGGAGGGGAGGGAGTGAGCCATGGGGCTTTCTGGGGAAGAGCATGTGAGGTGAGGAACAGCAGGTGCAAAGTCCCTGAGGAGGCTTGTGTGGCTGGGGTGGAGCATAGGGGAGAGAAGGGAGAGGAGGGTAATGGGGCTATATCTTGTGGGCCTAGCAGGCCATGGTGCGGACTTCGTCTTTTCCTGTGAGTGATGCAGGGAGCCACAGAGGGTTTTGAGCAGGGGAGGGATGAAATCTGACTTGGGTTTTTACAGGCTCCCCCTGGTTGCCATGTAAGGACAAACATTTTCCTCTTTGGGGCCCAGCTTGAATCTCTAAATTTCTGCAGGGTTAAGGAGTGTCTGAAGCCCCATGGCTGTGCCCGACTCCCAGACACAAGGAGCCTCACACATCCCCACCTAAGGTAGAGCCCCATATTCATACTTCCCTGGAAACCCCGGAGATAGCCTTGCCCCTTGTGACAGCCAGCCAGGGTCAGGGGGCTAGTCACTTAGCAAGGTCGCTATCTGTCTGCCCCTCCTCCTCATCCTAATGACCCTGGCCCAGAGGCCTCTTGCCTATCCCTCCCCATTCAGCCTCTATGCAGACCCCTGGGGGAACTGAAGTTGCCAAGCGGTTAAAGGATGCAAAAGAGAGCCCACAGGAGAAATATTTCTGGTATACAGCTCAAGGTGGCTGCCTCTGGGTGCTTCTGGGGATATAGGCCATCTCTCTCTACATCTCTGTGATCATACCTTTCCTGCATTTTCTCCAATAAGTAGGTATTACATTTGGGAAAAGACATAAAATCCGAAGGCATCACGTTTTTGCTGTTACAACATTTGAACGACCTCCTTGTCCTAACACCTAGGCTGCGTTATCTATTGCCGAGTAACAAACTACCCCATACCATTTCATCAGGCCGTGTGTGCAGAACGGGATTTGGGCAAAGCTCTATACTAACCGGAGCTTCAGCTGGGGAGCTACAAAAGCTAGGGATGTCTGGGCAGCATCTGCAGCCTGGCACACAGTAGAGCTCCGGAAAAGTCTGCAGAACGGACAGCCCATTTTACAAATCACAAAGCAGCCACAACACTAAGAGAACAGTTTAGTGGATACCAGGGGAAAGGTGGGGTGGGGGGTGGGGACAAAGGGTGAAGTGGTGCACCTACAACACGAATGACAAACATTAATGTACAACTGAAATTTCACAAGATTGTAACCTATCATTAACTCAATTTAAAAAAAAAAAGAAAAAGAAAAAAGAAAGCAGCCACAACTTCTGAGCGCTCGCTGGGCACCGCCCGGCCCTGAGCTAAGACCCAGACACGGACTGAGTCAGTCCTCGGCCAAGTCTGCAAGGCGGCGGCACCCCGCCCATTTGACAGGCGGGGAAGCGGGGACTCAGAGAGAGGAAGCCAGGCGTGGGCCCAATGCTCAGCCCTCGGGTGTCCAGGAATCTGCAACTTTTAGCACCCAGAGTCACCGCAAGGCTTCAGAGGCAGATAAGGGGCCACCCGGAGAGAGACGAGAGCCACAACCCCCCAGGAGGCGCTTGCAGATGGGGAAACTGAGGCCAGGCAGGAAAGCCTCGCCTCCTGGCTCAGCCCGTGCGGCCGGCCTCTGGGCGGCCGTCCGCGAAGCGGCCAAGGGCTCGGCTTCGTCCCGACGCCTCTCCCGCCCCGCGAGCCCCGCGAGCCCCGCGCCTACCCCAGACCTGAGGATGGGAGGCCTCCTCTGGGGCTCTCGCCGGCCCTCTCAACGGCCTCGGACAGAGGCTCCGACGCGGCGCTGGCCCGGCAGGCTGCCCTGCTAGGCCGCAGTCCACTCCCGGGCCGGCCAGAGCACCACCCCGCGCCCCTCCGCTCCGGAACCGACTAACCGATCCCTTCGCGGCTCCGCCCAGACCTGAGCTGCGGGGAGTCCAGCCGCTCGTCCCTCAGCGGAGCCCTGAGTGGGCTGCTCTGGGCGCCCGGAGGACTGCCGTCTCGATGGTTCTCCAGGCCGGCGCGGCGTCCAGAGACCCTTTCCCCCGTCAGTGACCGCCAGAGGAGGGCGGGACGCAGCGCCTTTCTTCCGCCTCCTTTCGGGTCTGAAGGAACCGGTAGGAAAGGCCAGCGCGGGGGCTTCAGGGAAATGGAGTTCCGCCGGCTCCGATCCGGACTCTAAGCCGGGAGGTTCTGCCGCGGAGAACCGAGCCAGGAGAGGAACAGGCGATCTCGTCTGGGCCTGAGTGAGCGTCCTGGTTACCATGACGACCGCCAAACCTGCCCCCTTTCCGGGTTTCACCGGGGGCGTGGGGCGGAGACTTCGGCTTCCGGGTAAAGCGGAGCCTTCATGCGATTCGCCATTGCCTTGGAGACGCCTCGCACCGTCCCGCCTTCCCATCACTTGGACGCTGGTGATTGGTCGTCCCAGGGGAGGGCGGGGCTTCCGGTCCGGGTCCACGCTGTCCCTCTGGACAACGTGCCGGACGGGGTTCAGCCTGAGAGCCCCGCAAAAGTTTGCGCTTTGACCTTAGACCCCTCCAAAGTCCCAGTGGTCGGGTCCTCCCGGTTCCGTCACCTGTAACTTCCTAAATTCCCGTCTCTAGTTCTGCGAAATCCGATGCCTGCTTCTCCCCCAGTTCATGTCTCCGAGTTTCCCCAATATTGGTTTCCAGTCTCCAATTCCTGCTTCCGGGTGCCCCCAAATCCAGGTCCCTCTTTTCCCTGCAGTTAAGGCCTTGGAGTCCCCCACCCAAGACCAGGTCCCCGTTTCTCCCCCAATTTGTGCCTGACACCACCAAACTGCAGCCACCGGGAATCCGTGTCTGAGACTGTTCTGAATTCATATATCTGGTCTCCAAAATCTGAGATTCTACACCGACTAATTCTGGATATGTGGATTTCCAAAATATGTTTCTGGGTTTATCCTTAATCCAAGCCCCTGAGACCCCCTATTAAGACCATGTTCCAAGGTTCCCAAACTCAACCCAGTTCCTCAGCTCTATTCTTTCCCCAAGTGCTGCAAGTGAGGGGACAGGTCTGGATCTGATCCAGCATTGCCACCCCAGCCCTACACATTCTGCCCTGTTGCCCCCACCCCAATTCTGCAGAGCCACCCTGTACATGTGGTCCCAACTGACAGCTGAGCAAATTGAGTTTGGGGAAGGGGCTTAGGCTAGGTCACCCAGCAGGTCCTGCCTTGAGGTCCAGAATTCCCACTGCTGTAACAAGCACCCTGGCCAATCCACTCACCTCTGTGAGCCCATCTTGAGACATTCTGGTCAGCGGCCAGGGCAGTGGGAGGCCCAGGGCAGGGGGAAAGATGAACTTGTCATCTGCCAAGGAGCCGTGGGAGTAGGAAACAGTCTGACAGGAGAGACAGTCCTGAGGGAGTTGGAGGAGCAATGAATATGTTTGTTGTGTGTTCATTTACTTGTTCCTTTACTCAAGCAGGCTTGGAATCAAGACTAGCCCCTCCTCGGTAATTACATGGTCCCTCCTGAGCAGACTTTTCTCTGAAGAGGGAGGCGCCTAAGGGGCAGGGAGAGTCCCTCTCTGGGTCATGCCAGATCCAGTGGGAAAGCCTAGAGTTGACTGAACTCATTGGTTCATTGAGCAAATATTTCTTGGGCACTTTGTACGTGCAAGGATCCCTGAAACTGATGGAGACACGATGCAGAGAGGGAGGAGAGGCCAGCCAGGACAGGTGAGGCCAGGCTCTGGGGCCAACTGCCTTAGAAACCCAACTCTGCCCCCTTTTGCTGTGTGACACTGGGCAAGTTACTTCACCTCTCTGGGCCTCTGTGACTATCTGTAAAACGGAGTGCCCATCTTATAAAGTTCTGAAGACTAAGTGATCTGATTCCTAGACTCCTAGTGCCTGCCTGGGGTCAGGGAGGGGCTTTCCAGGGCTGACCTTAGTTAGCAGGTGGCCAGGAAGAGGGGCAGACTGTGGTAAGGAGGTCTTCTGAACAGAAGACAGCATGACTAAATGTTCTGAGTCTGGAATTGGTGTGTGGTGGAGGAGGGAGGCCCTGCCACTTGTGTCTGCCTAAAGTGCAGAGTGGGAGCAGCAAGTCCTATGAGGGACTAGGGAGGTCTGGCCCACACACCCACCCATTGTTTATTCAAGTTACTTGTGAGCAGACACTGTGAGCAGGTTCAGCACTTGCAGCTGAGGACACAGCAAGGAACAAGCCAGACAGACTCCACCCTCACAGAGCAGCCAGACCGACAGGGCAGAGGAGACGGCCAGGGAACAAGGCAGAGAGTGCAGGGGTGGCATCATAGACTGTCACCATGGATGGTCAGGAAGAGCCTCACCAAAAAAGTGACATGAAAGCAAAGATCAAGATGAGGGAGAGAGTCTTGAGGGTATCTGGGATGTATTATTTCCTGAGGCTACTGTAGCAAATCACCACAAACTTGGTGTCTGAAAACAACAGTAACTTATTTTCTCACGGATCTGGAGACCAGAAGTCTGAAATCAAGGTGTCTGCAGGTCCATGCTACCTCTGGAAGGCTCTAGGGGAGAAGGCTTCCCTGCCTCTTCCAGCTTCTGATGGCTCCAGGTATTCCTTGCCTTGTGGCCGCATCACTCCAATCTCTACCTGTCTTCACGTGGCTTCTCTGTGTTGTGTCTTCTTTTTCTTTTTTGAGGAAGATTAGCTCTGAGCTAACTGCTACCAACCCTCCTCTTTTTGCTGAGGAAGACTGGCCCTGAGCTAACATCCATGCCCATCTTTCTCTACTTTATATGTGGGACGCCTACCACAGCATGGCCTGTCAAGTGGCGCCATGTCTGCACCCGGGATCTGAACTGGCGAACCCCGGGCTGCCCAAGTGGAATGTGCACACTTAACCGCTGCGCCACTGGGCCGGCCCCAAGTGTCTTCTTCTTCCTATAAAGATACTGCTATTAGATTTAGGGCCCACCCAGGTACTCCAGGATGATCTCATTTTCAGATCCTTAATTACAGCTGCAAAGACTCTTTTCAAATAAAGTCACTTTCACAGGGCCCAAGGATTGGGATGTGGACATATCATTTCAGGGGCCACCATTCAACCTACCACAGGCCAGCATCCCATGGGAGCAGATGGTGGCTGGGTCAGGGTGGACCATGATGGACCTGCCATGGGCACAAGACCAGACTTGGGACTTGGGCAGAAGCAGGCCTGGCCTGGCTCTGGAAGGCAATTGGGTAGATCCAAACCTAGCACATTTCAAACTGGATGAGAACCAGGTTGGCATTTTCAATGGACATCCCAGATGCTACTAAGAGCAGTGAGGAACAAGTGTGAGGAGGACAGGAGGCCAGCTGATAGCAAGACCAGCTAACAGACGGGCAGACAGGAGAGGCATCTGCCTGGACAGTGGAGATGTAGTCTGGTGGGGCCCATGGGGTGCCTTCTGGGAGGTGGGGAGCCTGGGCCAGGGCTGGTCAGCTCAGGGTAGACGTGATGCACCAGAAAGTGAGGGGGGGGGGCGCCCTGCAGAAACTTTCCACCCTTCACCCTGAAAAACACAGTGCCAACAGCCCTAGACGTACAGGGTCAGACAGATCTCATCCCTGTGTCCTGGGGACCTGGAGAGGCTGGGCTACCCCAGGATTGGCAGATACTGTGTGAATCTTAGCTATGCAAAGTAGCCCCCCATCCTCCACCCCATGAGGCTTTACTGGTGGACCTCCATCCTGCCCTCCAGGGCATGGGGGGAGGTCACACTTGTGAGGTCTATAAAGATGTCCACTATCAAGCCACCACAAGTGGCCAGGCCACAGGCTCCAAACTGGCCTTGTCTGATTCTGTTCTCATTTTCACACTGAAGGGAGAAACTGAGGTTCAGAGGGGTGGGCCCCTGTCAGTTCCTGAGGAGAAAGAAGCTGGGTTAGGGGGGCCCCCCTCGGGATCCTGCTGAATGTGGGGGCGACAGATGCCTCTGCCTATTCCCTGCTTCCTCCCAGTCAGCGTCTCCCTAGGGCCTCCCCAGGACCAAGGAGGAGCCCAGTTAGTCCCTTCCCAAGCCCTCAGACCCCAGTGGGAAGCCCGAGGATGCTACCCTGCACTTATCAGGGTGGAGGGCAGGGGTAAGGGCCATGAGCTGCGGGGGCCAGGGGCCTTGGCCTCAAGGTACAGCTTCTGTGCCCCCACTGGAGACTGAGCCCGTCTAACCTCCTGCCCAGGTCAGCTTCAGGGTCTGTGTCCTGAGCATGAGCTGTGACTGACGACAGTCCAAGGGGACCCAGAGTCTCTGGTCTGAACTGCTCCTGGAATTGGGGTCAGGGCATGGGTGAGCCTTTACTGTCAGTCAGCAACAAACAACGCGGCCGCTCAGCACCTGCTTTTTGCACGCCCAGAGGGTGGGCAAGTGGAGCTGCTGGGGACCATGGAGGACCACCTGGGTCAACTGGCTGGGCCCCTTGGGGTCTGTGTAGGAGAAACACGCCCCTGGAGGGTGAAGTGGGCACCAGGACATGGGGAGCCCCAAGGGGCCCTGGAGACCAGCTCCGCCAGATGCCCCCTCATGCCATCCTGCTGGCCAGCATCGGTGTGTGGCCACTGAGATTGTGGCCTCTGGGAAACCCATGGGTGGAGTGCACGTCCCAGCTCAGCTCCAGGGTCTAGGATTATTAAGCACCAGAGGTATGCGAAGGGCTGGCACATGCTCTCCAGGCTGGCCGCCGGGGTCACTGGGTAGGGCTGCAGAGTGGGCAGAGCACCCACCATCGTGCTGACCCCCTGCACCCCGACCCCCACACCTCCCCGCCTGCGATGACGGTACAGGAGATGCGGGGGTCGTGGAGAGACAATGGGAGGGACTCCGGCATGGGCTGAAGGGAGGGGTCAAGCGGGAAAGGGTCCCGCTTGGAAGCTCAGGCCTGCAGCCGCCGCGGGCGTGCGAGTGTGGGGGAAAGGGACCCACGATTAACGCCCGCGCATGCGCGCGGGGCCCGGGACTAGCGGAGGGCCGCCGTGACCACCCGACCCCACTCCGCCGCCCACGGCTGCAGCGCGCGCGTGCCTGTGAGGCGGCCGAGACCCGGGAGAGGAATGAGAGGGTGCCGAACCGGCTCCCCCTTCTCGAAGCCCGCGGCAGGTGGGGCGTGAAGTCAGCAGCTGAACAAAGCGGCGAGCCGAGGTTCTAGCCTCACTAGACATGGCGGCGTTGGCCGCACGGAGTTCTCTACGCTTGTGCCGGGGCACCCCCAAGAAGGGCAAGTACGGGACGTCGGACATCCGCCAGGCGTGCTTGTGGGGCCGCTTCTGCAAGTGCGCATGCGTCGGGGTGTACGCGGTCCGTTTCGTCCTGAGGGCAACTTTACATCCTCGCTGCGGATTGGTCCGTGAACACCCTGTGTCCTTTTTGCGCACACGTCACCGCCGTTGACCCGGAAATGTTCGCTCCCGTTAAAAGCGCCGGTCCGCTGCTTGCGGCCTCTTCCTGTCTGTGCCAGGGCGGCGCGTGGTCTACGCCGTGCGGCAGAGTCGTCCGGACTGCGCCGTCAGGTGAGGCCACCGTGGGGTCGGGGGTCGGAGGGCCCCCCCAGGATCTTCTGGGGAGCCCTGGGCGGGCCCCGAGACCTGGGGCTTCCGTCTTGGGGCCTCAGCTGTCTCCGGAAGACGTGCTGAGGAAACGGGTGGGGGCGCGGAGGCAGCTGCTCCCGCCTGGTTGTTGGGCCCCGCCGCCTCCGCAGCCGTTCCTCGCGGCGGGCCGGGCACGTTGGTCAGGCCTCAGCAGTTGTACGTTGAGATGGCAGGTCGCCGTTATTCTCAGATGCGTGGTGCTCTCTCTGGTCCAGGCACGGCTTTCCCCTTACTAGCAGCCTCCTTGGTGTCCGACATGAACCGCAATCTGCGTCGACGGTGCGCAGAATTTGTGCGGTGATCCTTGACGCGTTTCCATTTGACCGATGAGGAGGCTGAGTCCAAGGCAGTTGCTTGACTCGGGGTCGCAGAGGTCGTTAATGACATTTCTGGGATTCGAACTGAGGGGATGTGATGTCAGGGCGTGTGGCATCATCCCCTGCCCTCCTGTGGTGCGTGCAGCAGCTGTGGAGGCTTGGCCCCAGGGATTCTGCGTGACAGACGGATGCTGTTTGTTGGCAGCTGCGTGGTTTTTCTAGTATTCAAAAAGGTGGACCCAGATGTTCACGGCCTTTCTTGGTTCCTCGTAACTTCCCAGTTCACGGAACGTGCGCCGGCCTGAGTCGGGTGGCTGTGCCTGGGCTGACGATTTCTGTCCCTAGGATGACCGAGTGGGAGACAGCTGCGCCTGCGGTCGCAGAGACCCCCGACATCAAGCTCTTCGGGAAGTGGAGCACTGATGATGTGCAGATCAATGACATTTCCCTGCAGGTGAGCGGGGCCTGGTGGTTGTGCTCCCCAGGTGGGGGTGGGGGCCCGCGTGGATTCTTTCAGGAGGGGTCATCTGAAACTGGTAGCTGCCCCACTAATTCAAGAGTTGAAGACGTGACAGGTGAGAGAGGAATCCCTGGACTGCCACACCCCCTACGTCCATTTTTCCTCATTTCCTGTTGAGAGGTTGCTACAGTCTTTGTCACAAGATAGTCCCTTCCTCAGCAAGCATTACATCCCGCAGAGGTGATGGTGGTTTTTCCTTTGGTACTAAAATACACGTAATGTAAAATTCACTACTGTAATTATTTTAAAGTGTAAGAGTCCATCGTTCTTTTGCATCCAGTTGTTCCAGCACCACTTGTTTTTTGTTGTTTTGTATATTTTTTCTTTTTCTTCTTTTTTCTTTCTTGAGGAAGATTAGCCCTGAGCTAACATCTGCCAGTCCTCCTCTTTTTGCTGAGGAAGGCTGACCCTGAGGTAACATCCATGCCCATCGTCTTCTGCTTTATATGTGTGATGCCTGCCACAGCATGGCGTGCCAAGTGGTGCATATAGGTCTGTGCCCGGGATCTGAACTGGCGAACCCGGGGCCACCGAAGCAGAATGTGTGAACTTAACTGCTTTGCCACTGGGCCAGCCCCAGTAGCCATATTGTTTTACACTTGGCCTCATTAGGACTTTTGTGGGCCCTTCATTTTAAAAATAAAAATTGTATTTTGTGACTGCATTGGTATAAAGACAAGTAAAATTCAGGTTGGATTATGTGCATTTTGTCCCTTTTACATTTTAAAAGGAATCAGAACATTTTTGTTGCCTCTAAATAAATCATGAGATCAAGACACTATATCTGCTGGAGAATTCAGCCCTGTCTTTCACCCTGAATGCCTTGTAGATCTGTTTTCCTTCCTGGGTTCGTTGGGAGGGGCCACAAACTTAAAGGGTCAGAGGGTAAACGTTTCAGTCTTTGCGGGCCACGTGTGTCTTTGTCACAGATGTGTTTGCTTCCTTGTTTTTCTTTATTTGTAGAATCTTTCAGAAATGTAAAAGCTATTTTTCACTTTTCCCTGGTGCTCTTTTAGGGGCTGAAGTCAGCATGCTACCAGAGTCCTCACTTGGTACTAAAAGCTGTGCAGGGCTCCACTGTGGGGCCAGGCAGTTTGACCAAACCCTCGCAAGACATTTGGTGTTTGCATTTTTTTCCTGCACAGTGAAGCACTGCATGAACAACCATCTGCTTGCTGTTTGTGCAGATAGTTCTCTACAGGGCAGACACCAGACTGTCATGCCCACATCAGAATCCCCTGTGTTCTTTTACTCCTTACATTCGAACATGTTGTTTGTGTGTGTTCTCATACGTAAGTGATGGGGGTACGTTTCACTGTGGAACTGTCGACAGCAGTCCTCTTCATACACACATAGTTCCTCCGATTCCAACCCCACTAACATTTTTGGTGTTTTCTAGGCATTTTCTTGGGAAATGTATGTATAGGAAGGATTGTTGAATGATTCTTTTAAAGATTTTATTTTTTTTTCCTTTTTCTCTCCCAAGCCCCCCAGTACGTAGTTGCGTATTTTTAGTTGTGGGTCCTTCTAGATGTGGCGTGTAGGATGTCACCTTAGCGTGGCTTGATGAGCAATGCCATGTCTGCGCCCAGGATTCGAACGAGCAAAACCCTGGGCTGCCAAAGTGGAGCATGCAAACTTAACCACTTGGCCATGGGGCCGGCCCCCGAGTGATTCTTTTAAAAGGGTGGTTCTCTGGGGTAACTTTTTTCCTTTCTTTAGGGGACACTTGACAATGTTTGGATACATTTTTGGGTGTCAAATACTGAGAGTGTGCTACTGGCATACTGGATGCTGCTAAACATTGCACGGTGCACAGGACAGCCCCCTACAACAAAGAATTATCTGATCTGAAGTATCCGTAGTATAGTTGAGGAACTTTCTTAGAACTGGGATCATGGCTGTAATCTTCTTACTTCACCCTCCTCCCTCCCATTATAAAGTAAGTGCTTTTCTTAGTGACTTGGTAAAGTCACTTGTTTAGGTTTTATTTTTTCCTGGCAGGCAGGAGCTCACAACCAAGCCCGTGAAGGTGGGTGGAGGCTACCCTGACTGGGTGCTCAGTCCCTCTGGTCCCTGGCCAAGGCCCCTCCTGTTCCTGACCATGGTATCTCAGTCCCCTCTCCCTTTTCTCAGGATTACATCGCGGTGAAGGAGAAGTATGCTAAGTACCTGCCCCACAGCGCAGGGCGCTATGCTGCCAAGCGCTTCCGCAAGGCGCAGTGCCCCATTGTGGAGCGCCTCACCAACTCCATGATGATGCACGGCCGTAACAATGGCAAGAAGCTCATGACCGTGCGCATCGTCAAGCATGCCTTTGAGATCATTCACCTGCTCACCGGCGAGGTAGGGTCCTGGAACCAGGTGGGGCAGGGTGTCTTTAGTACCCCCTAGAACCCAGAGGCTGCCTCATGGTGTGCCTGCAGGGTCCTCCCGGGTTTAGGGGTGAGGAGAAGGAGGGATGTGGGCCGGATGTCAAGCTCATGGCCGCCCTCTCTTGTAGAACCCCCTGCAGGTCCTGGTGAATGCCATCATCAACAGTGGTCCCCGGGAGGACTCGACCCGCATTGGGCGAGCCGGAACAGTGAGGCGGCAGGCTGTGGATGTGTCCCCGCTGCGCCGTGTGAATCAGGTGGGCCTGGGGCTTTGGGCATATGTGGCTGGGCAGGAACAGCTACTAGGCCCTGCTGGAGTCCTGTCTGGGGCAGAGGCTGACAAGTGGGAAGGTTTGTCCCTGTCTGCATATTTTACCTGGAGTGTCATTTCCTCCAGGAAGCATTCCTGGATTCCCGCCCTGTGCAGGGCAGATTCTAGCTCTGCTCTCCTGGGCTGCATTTGTGCAGTTTCATTTAGGTATGTTTTTACACACTGTTTTGTGTTTTTTGTTTTCTTGGATCATTTGAGAATCAGTTGCAAACATTCTAACCATTTCCCTCTTAATGCTTTCAATGAGTATCTTTTTTTTTTTTTGAGGAAGATTAGCCTTGGGCTAACTACTGCCAATCCTCTTTTTTGTTGTTGTTGTTGAGGAAGATTCTCCCTGAGCATCCATGCCTATCTTCCTCTACTTTATACGTGGGATGCCTACCACAGCATGGCTTTTTGCCAAGCGGTGCCATGTCCGCACCCAGGATCCGAACTGGCAAACCCTGGGCCACCAAGAAGCGGAATGTGCGAACTTAACCACTGTGCCAGCCCCATCAATGAGCATCTTGGCAAGGATGTTCTATCCCCACCATCACCCCCAAGGAATTCAACAGCACTTGAATATCCACTTTCCTTCACTGTTCCAATTTATGCAGCTGTCCACAGCATACCCTTCATATTCAATTCAAGGTCCAGACCAACAGCACACATTGCGTTGTATTTCCTTGTCATGGCAGGTCTCAAGTCTCCTGTCATCAGGGACCCAACTTCAGCCTTTGTGTGTGTCTACACTTGTTTTTGTGGTCATCAGTCTGATCCAAGATCTGGTGGCATGCCACCTGGGCAGTGCTGTGTGTTCCCACAGTGACTTGTCTTGGTGGGCCAGTGGATGGCAGCATGGTAGCCAGCATTTGTTGGGGTCAGGGTACTAGAGGACCATGCCCCAGCCTGGTTTGGGGACATTCTCCACCCCCAGGCTTAGCTGAGTCCTTGCTCCCTAGGCTATCTGGCTGCTGTGCACAGGTGCCCGTGAGGCTGCCTTCAGGAACATCAAGACCATCGCCGAGTGCTTGGCAGATGAGCTCATCAATGCGGCCAAGGTGGGTGAGGACACTGGCTGGGGTGGGGGGCGGTGTCTAGGAGGTGGTCCTCCAACATTCAGAACTAACCATCTGCCTCTTTGCAGGGCTCCTCCAACTCCTATGCTATCAAGAAGAAGGACGAACTGGAACGTGTGGCCAAGTCGAACCGTTGATTGCCCGACCACAGCCCCAATAAACCTGTTTGCCTTTTGGGGCAGCCCCACCCTCCTGTACCACTGTCTGTCCTTGGGGGTTGGGGGTGGGCAGGATGGCCCCTGTGTCCTGCACAGCTGCTCGAATTCCTGGCCCGTCTTTTGGCCTGTGGGCACCTGGATTCACCAGGGAAATACTCGGCTGGGGAAGCACTGCCGACTCAGAACCATGGCACCTGGGTTCAGACCTGACCACTTGGAGTGTCCAGCAGGTGTTGCAAATGAGAGGGGTGGGGTGGTCTTGGCAGAGATGCCACTCTGGCCTGGGGTGGGGCTTGGCAGGTATCTGCCATCCTGAGAGGCATGCTACCTGGAAGCAGCCCCAGGGAGAGGAAGCCAAGGAAGGCCTGGGGTCTGGGCCATGACTGTTCCCAACCCCTTGCTGCCTAACTGGCACGGGCCATCCCTGTGCAGTCTGCTCTGGGGTCAGCCCACCTTCCACCCACAGGATGCCACAAGTCCCATCCTCTTTGCTCTGGCCAGGGCTCCAGGCTGCCTCCCCAGCTGCTTAGGTTGTGGCTGCAGCTCAGCCCCATGCACCCTGCAGGGCCACTACCACTCCAGGTTCCTCTCACCCCACCAATGGCTCAGATGTGGAGGATTCCTGGAGGTGTCCAAGGCGGGTGGGGGTTGTGATCACCTACCCGAGGTGCCTGGACTGCCACTGCTCTGTCACCCTGTGCCACCACCTACCCACCACCCCCGACATCCGGCTCTGGTCAGCCTTGGTGTTCAGCCTGGGAGGCGGGGTGGGCAGTCAGACGGGTCTGGCGGGAACCTGGGATCTGGAGGGAGTGGCCCTGTTGTAGGCACCCTCCCTCGGGGAGGGGCCCTTAGTATCCAGCTGCTGAAAGGTGGACTGGGGTCAGAACGGGCACGGACGTGCCGGCCAGAGGGAGGAGGTGCAACAGGTAAGAAGAACCCAATGGCTAGCTTGTGTCCATCGTTTTATGGTGGGGAGCCCCTGACCCCTGTTCTGGGCCTCCATCCTTGCTCTATCCATCTTGCTGGGCCCCTATCCCCAGGGGCTAGGGTGTCCTGCCTCCCTCATCTGCCCTTTAGATTCTGGTCGCCCCGGGGTCCCTCTGCCCAGCTCTCCCAGGAGTCCCTTTGCTCCTTTCCACATTAGATCCTTCCTATGCCTAGAGTCCCTCCGTGGTCCTGGGGTCACTCAGGTCTGGGGCCTCCCCCAAGTCTAGCTCAGGCTCTGCGGTGCCCCTAGGTTAAACTCTGGTCCATCCTGGGGTGCGTCTTTGTCTCCAATCCTTTTCAGATCCCCTCTCTGCCCATCTCTCCAACCCCCCCACCCCACTCCTGATCTACTTCCAGCCTGGACACCCCCCCTTCTCAGCTCCTACTCCGAGGCTTCTGTCCTCCCCATCTCATCTCAGCTCCTTGGCTCTAGCCACCTCCTTCTCCCGACGCTCCTGCTCTGTGCTGGGTGATTCCCTCCAGAGTCCGCTCCTGACCCTACCCAGACCCTTGTCCGTTCTTCTGCTGCCACCTTCTCTGCCTGACCGCCTTTCCCCGCAGGTCTGGTCCCGATGCCCTGCCCTCGGCCGCCCTGGCTCCGCCGCCCCCGGGCCCCTCAGGGCTCGGGCCCTAGCTCCCCGGGCTCACCCTCTGCGCCCGGTTCCCCAGGCAGCGGGGAGGACGAGGAGGAGGAAGAGCGGGACGGCAGCCCGGGCTCTGGCCCCATCCTGCCCCCCGCTACCCCCGTGGAGTGCCTCATCTGCGTGTCGCCCTTCGACGGCGTGTTCAAGCTGCCCAAGCGCCTGGACTGCGGCCACGTCTTCTGCCTCGAGTGCCTGGCTCGCCTGTCTCTGGCCACGGCCGGCGGCGGCGACCCGGTGGCCTGCCCAGTGTGCCGCGCGCCCACGCGCCTGGGCCCGCGCGGCGGGCTGCCCGCGCTGCCCACTCAGGCCGGCCTGCTGCCCCGCGCCGGGCGCGCGCCCCTGCCGCGCCCGGGCTCCGTGCGCTTCGACCGCCGCCGCGGGCTGCTCTACGTGCCCGGGCCGCGCAAGGCCCGCGCCGCGCTCCCGCCGCCGCCGCCGCCGCTGCGCCTCGGCCGCCCGCTGTCGCGCCGCCGGACGCTGGCCAGCACCACCTGGCTCTTCAACGCGGCCGTGGCGCTGGCCGTGCTGGTGGCCGCGGGCCTCGTGGTCTCCGGCGTCTACATCTTCTTTCTCATCCCGCACGCCGCCGCCTCCGGCCCCGCGCGGCCCCAGCTCGTAGCGCTCGCCCCGGCGCCCGGCCTTCCCTGGTTCGCGCCGCGGCCCACGCCCGGGGCGCCCTGGACCCCCGCCTGGACGCCGCGCCCCGCGGGCCCTGTCCTGGACGCCGCCCGGCCAGGGGCTGAGGAGGACGCGCCGGAGGCCGAGGGGGTCCCCGAAGACCTGGCGGAGGCCGAGGAGCGAGAGGACAGGCCCTCGGACCGCATGTGGGGGGTGGAGGCTGGACCCAGCTGGGCCCCGCAAGCACGGGGCAGGAGGAGAGTGTGGACGCCTCAGTAAACGCGAATGTGCTGCAGGCCCTGTCCCAAGGCTTGGAGACCTTAGTGTCATATGGCCGGGACCACTCGCCATGGTCCCCGTAGAGGCCTCAGCAGGGTGCATGGCAAGCACCCATTTTTCCACAGAGAGGCCTGGCGGGATCATTCCCGGCACCATCACCACAGGGCAGGGACCCTCTCAAGGAGCAACCCTACCGTTGTTCCCACAGGGAGCCTCTGGGGGCACCCCGACCCCAATCCCATGGGCATCAGGCTGAGGGTGCACTGACCTCCATCTTTGTAAAGGTCCTGCTGGAAAGTGCTCCTAAACCTGGTCTCCGTGAGAATCCAATTGGGAGTACTCTTGATCCTCATCACTCGTGGGAACCCAGCTGGTGAGCTCCCTGACCGACATCTGCAGGGGCCCTCCTGGGGCACCCCCCAGCCCTGATCCTCACAGGGTCCTCCTGAGTGCCCCCCTAGTCATCGTCAGAGCCCTGGGGGAGCATCCTCGGCCAGTACCAGGGACTGAAGGCTCTGATCTGCTCATCCTTTGTGCTCACCGCAGGTGGCTGGGGGGCCCCATCTTTGGAGGGCAAAGCTGCTGCTCTTATTCCTGACCACACCCCCTGACTGGCCCACTGCAAGGCTGGCTCCCCCAGGCTGTGGAGTTTGTTTCCCACTCTGCTGCCTGCAGGCTGGGCCTGAGTGGGATCCAGCTGTCTCCATGCTGGTCCTGGGTTGCTGCCGTGCACCTGGCTGGGACTTGGGCCTGGAGGGGCAGGGGTGACCAGGCCTGACCAGGGCTCAGGAGGGACAGATAGGGCCTGAGCCTCAAAGACTGGCTACCACCAGGGGGCTGAATACCAACTTGCAATGGGAGCCTTGACTTCCTCTATGGGTTGTGGCTTATGGGACCCTAATATGCTGTGGGCAGCTATGGTCACCGAGGTTCAAAGAGGCCAAGGCTGCCCTCTGGGTCAGATAGTGTCCCATAATTTGGTGGGGTTGCTCCTGGACCTCCCTGGCCTACCCAAGGGATCCTGGCTCCTCTCCCTAGCTGTTAGAGCCCTCATCACCTTCATCTCCACTCATTAATTTCTCATTATTGCACCTCCTCCCCCAGGGCTCCACCAGCCTTTCATGGCATCCCTCCTGTTCCCCCAGGTGAAGCCTCAGCCCTCCTAGTAGACAGCAGCCTCCAGGGAGGGCAGCTCTTGGATGCCTGTCCTCCTCTCAGAAGCCTTCCTGGATTAGTCACTGAGGAGTAGTTAGCAGCCACTCTCTGCAGAAACTGAACATGAGCTTCTGTCTCCCCTCAGGCCCTAGAGCCCCCTTCCTGCCTCACTTTGCTCAGGGTTGGGGTGCTGTGTGCTGTGGTTGGGCATCCAGCATTTTCCAGAGAGAAATATGACTTCTATGGGGCTGAAGGCTCCTGTTTGATTTGTTTACATGTGTGTCCTCAGCGCCTGGCACACAGTGGGTGCTTTCTGGGGAGTGATGGCATTGCAGGTGACTACAAGGTAGCTGGGGAATGCCTGTGGGCACCCTCGGCCCACCCAGCTCACAGCGACCCTGACCTAGGCATGCCAGTGGAACTCCTGATGTGAGCTGCTGCTTCCAGGTGGGAAGCTGGAGGAGGAACATCAGGGTGTCTGAGGGAGTGTCTTCCCTGACCAGTTCTTGTTCCACATCCAGGTGCCGATGTCACCCACAGGGGCAGGGACCAGTGTGCTGGGTCACTGGGCAGCCACAGCCTAGCCCCACAGGGAGGGGACCTGGTTGGGCAGGAGCAGGGTTAGCAGTCTATATTAATTTTCTCTGGTTGCTGCAACAAATTACCACCAACTCAGTTCCTTAGAACAACACATGCTAATTATCTTACCGTTCTGCAGGGCAGAAGTCTTGAAATGAGTTTCAACAGGCTAAAGTCGAGGTGTCTGCTGGGCTAGTTCCTCCTGGAGGCTCTAAGAGAGAATTCATTTCCTTAGCTTTTCCAGCCTTTAGAGTTGCATTCCGTGGCTCCTTCCTTATCTTCAAAGGCAGCAGGTATCTTCAAATCTCTGACTCTCCTGCTTCCCTCTTTCACTTATGAGGACACTGTGATTACAGTGAGCCCATTTGGATAATCCAGGATAATCCCCCAGCTCAACATCCTTAATTTAATCACATCTGCAAAATCCATTTTGCCATGTAAGGTAACAGATTCACAGATTCCAGGGATTAGGATCTGGATATCTTTGGGGCCATTATTCAGTTTACCGTAGCGTCTCAGACATCCCCCTCCTCATCCTTTCCCTCCTCTACTCCAGGCCGGAGGTGGGGGGAGCAGGAGTAGACCTGGTAGGGATGAGTCCAGCCAGGGGGGTCAGAAAGGGGCCCTTAGCTGACGAGGAAGAGGAAGACAACGCTCTTTGCCTGAGGGTGTTCAAGAAAGGCTGCCTGGAGGAAAAGACCTCAGAGCTGTATCTTTAAGGAGGCTCAGGGGGAATGACAACTGGCATTAAGGTGGTGGTTGAGGGCAGTGGGCAGGTCTGGCTCCTCCCTGTGAGTCCTCATCACTTCCTCCTAGGGGCTACAGAGTAGTGTGGCTTCTCCACCCTCCCAGCTGGGAGCTGGAGGCCTCAGTCTCTCCTCCAGTAAAGCGAGGCTGATGACAGAGCCCAGGGGTCGCTGAGCGTCCCTGTCTGCTGATTACTACCTCGATGCCTGCCCGCCTAGTGCCCTGGAACAAAGGGGCTGCCGGAAACCACCTCGGCCCAGGATTCCTCCCCACCCTTGCCTACCAGGCTGTGGCCACCGGGAGCTGCACCTGCCCAGCCCGCCCTCTGGCCACTCCATCCCTGCTGGACTTTGCCCCTCATCTATGCTAGGCTTGCTCTTCCTCCCAGGCCTTGGTGGCTAGGAATATAGGAGGGGGTGGGCGGGTGGATGTTTGTTTTAGTACCTGTACGGGCCAGACTTTGGTTCTGTTTTCTGTAAAATGGGCAACAATAAACACTCTACTTGCAGGGAGAATTCATTAATCCACAAGTATTTATTGAGCATCCGCCGTGTACCAAGAGCTCACTGGGGGCTTCTCGGGAACAAGGAGGACAGATGATGTCCAGGGGGCTGAGCAGAGGAGACACTATACTGGCCACACTGCCTCCCCCGCTACGCTCTTGGAGTCCCCGACTCCCTCAAACCCTTCTCGGACCTCCCCTAGCTCTCTTCCCCTCGCCCCCGGGGAGAGCCAGTGCTCCGTTCTAGGGCATCCGGCCAGCCTCTCTCACGAGGGTCAGGGAGGTCCCTGCCCACACTACACCCGTCCCGGGCCATCAGGCATCCTCTTGTGTTCAGGGCGAGGGAACAAGGGCCCGCGGGGCTTCGCTGGACCCTGGGAGCGGCAGTACCCAGATTGACAGACGGGAAAACCGACGCTGGCGGGCTGGGCCGGGGGTGGATTCGAACCCGGACCGCAGAGCTTTCTGCAAAACCCCTTCTCCCCTCAACTCCAAGCCCTGGCCGGGCAGCCTCGGTTTTCCCTGCTCCCTGTCCCTGCAGCCGCAGTTCTCCCCTCCGCCTTGGTTCTTGGCTCCATCCTCTGCACCGTCCCTCCTCGCTGACGCCCGCGGTGGACCAGGCGGGTAACCCGAGGAGGAAGCGTGGACCAGTCGGAGACCGCATTCCAGGCTTGGGGGCAGGACTGTCATTGCCACAGCAACTTGGCCGGCCTGCGCCTCGCAGCCCGGTGGGTGGCGCGCGCACCGTATCCCTCGGTCGAACCTGGTGGGAGGAGCAGGGAAGGCGCGCCAGAACTGACTGCCAATCGGAAGTCTGCGGCTGGCGTTGCTATGGCAACTTTGCCCGCCTTCAGCACGCCGTGACGTAGAGCCGCGCGCGCAGCGTACTCAGGCCGCAGTCTAGTGGAAGGAACTGGGAGGCGTGCTAGAGCTGGTGGCCAATCAGGGGCGTGAGGCTGGCGTTGCTATGGCGACCACGGGATTGGGAGAGTTTGCGGCAATCCCGGCTGCCGGGCGGTGGCTGGAAGGAGGAGGGAACGGCAAGCCGAAGATCCAGACGCCTCACATGCCTTTGCGGGGAAAGGGGCACGTGGTGTCCTGACGTTTGCGGCGCTTCTCCGGTGCCTCGTCCCTGCGCCGCGGGGCTTGCGTCGTCGGGAGCGCTGGACGGGGCAGAAATCGTATCGCTAAGCCCGGGGGTAGAGTCTCTGGCAAGCTCTCCCTCACCCTAACCCCACCTGCCTCCCCCTCCCTGGGCATGGATGCCTCCACTTTAGTGGCGTGGAAAACTCCACATTGGGTATGGAATTTTCCACTGAATCTTCCAGAAATACACTCGTTTTTATTTTTAATAACAGCTTTATGCAAATATAATTCAAAGGCCATACAATTTGCCCCTTTAGTATACAATTCATTGAGTTGTTAGTATATTCACACAGTTGTGCAAGCGTCACCACTGTCTAATGCTAGAACACTGCAGACCCATGAGCAGTCATGTCTCATTCCCCCTGCCCCTCAGCCCCTGGCAACCATTAGTCCACTTTAGCCTCTATGGATTTGCCTATTCTGGACATTTCATATCAATAGAATCATACAGTAGCAGAAATCCATTCTTAAAAGCAAAGCAGTGTGTGGATTGTTCTTCCTAGCTGGTGGGGCCAATTCAGCCATGATGTGGACTCTGGAGCCAGAGATGTGGGTGTGAATCCTAGTTCTGTTGTGGCCTTGTCCTTAGCCCCTCTGAAGCTCAGTGTCCGCTTAGGGACTGCGTGGGAGGGCACAATCTGCCTTGGGCTTGCCAGGCTATGCTCCCTGCTGTCAGGTACAGGTGGGCTATGGTAGGGATGCCAGTCTCTGCTGGATTTTGAGGAGTCACTGGGAGACCAGACACAGGAGGAGCAGATGAACCTTGGGGGTTTGTCCTTTGGCCAGCCTCCTTATAGACCCAGCATCTGTCCAGGTGTCCCACTGAGCTTCTCAGTCTCTGTTGCATGCTGAAATTTCTTTACATAGTTCATTCTTTATCTCAAGGCGCACCTGTGATATATGGGCTCTGGGCTGGGTGCTGAGGTTGCAACAGTGAACAAAAAGGTCGCAGATATTCCTATGCCTCTTTCTTCCTTAGAACTCACATTCTAGGGCAGAGCTGGACAGTAAACAGCCAAACAAAGCATTAATAGGATTCTTCAGGTCAGGGCTAAGTCCTCTGTGGAAGACAAAACAAGATGATGTGATAGAGACTGTTGGAGGTCCAACTTAGATGGTGGGGTCAGGGAGTAGGAACATAGATGCCCAAATGACAGGAAGAATGAGGCAGGCATAGGCCAGGGAAGAGTCTGCAAGGCTGTGGAAATGGCAGGTGCAAAGATTCCCTGAGGTGGGGGCTGGCTTGTTGTATTAGAGCCACAGTGAGGAGCAGAGAGCGGTTGAAGGAGGGGTGGCCAAGATGGAAAGGTCTGGTGAAGAGCAGATGTCCTAGCCCTTTCCACTCGGTGATATGTAGGTCTTTTGTTTCTCTTTATTTTTTTATGTTGTTAATTAGGAAGCCAGTCTAGGCACCTTCTGAACTTCATGCTCTGATACCTGAAGTATCCCCAGGATAAGGAGGCAGCTTATTCCTAAGACATGCTGCTTGTCTTCCAGGGGTTTATGGCCTCATCATGTTTTCTGTTAATAAGTAGGACACAGTCTTGAGGAAGATACTGCTCTTTCTACCCGTATTAGTTATCTAGTTCTGCCTAATAAATTAGGTGGTGGCCCCATGCCTAGTGGCCTAATACAATAAACATTTATCAGCTCACAGTTTATGTGGGTCAGGAACTCAGGATTGGCCTAGCTGGGTGGTTCTGCTCAGGGTCTCCCATGAGGTTGAGGTCAAGCTGGGACAGCAGTCATCTCAAGCCTTGCCTTGAGCTGGACGATCCACTTCCAAGCTGGGTTACTCACATGGCTTTTCGCAGGTGGCCTCAGTTCCTCGCCACATGGACCTCTCCACAGGGCTACTTGAGTGTCCTCATAACACAGCCACTGGCTTCCCTCAGAGTTGGTGAACCAAGAGATAAGAAAGCAGAAGGAGCCACAGTGCCTTTTATGACTTAGTCCCTGAAGTCACATTCTGTTGTTTCCCCAGTTTGCTTCTGCTGACCCTATTCACTGTGGGAGGGGACCAAGTGAGAGTGTGAATACCATGTGGTGAGACTCATGGGGGCCATCTTGGAGGCCAGCCCTCACACTGTCTAAATTGTAGACACCAGCATGGTCCTCTGTCTTCTTTAGCCAAGCAGGCCTGTGCTGCTCCCTTGGGCCTGCTCTCCCATGAGAGGGTCCCAGGCCCCTGGTTTAGGCTGAATCCCCAGGGGGATGACTCAGTCACCCTTTCTGTGTTGGAGAGGCAAGGGAAAAGCCAATACCAGCCACAGTGGTGGCAAGTGGAGAGCAGGTCAGAACCAAAGACAGAAGGGAGAAGAGTGACTGTGGCTTCATTCTTACCCATCTCTAGGCCCCCAAATCTCGAGGGAGGGAGGAAACATGGAGCCATGGTTTTGGGGGGTGTAGAGGGTGGTAGCATTAGAATAACTGACTCTTTCCCAGGCCCCTCACCCCCTGATGTTGGAGGATTGAGACTGAAGCATTGTGGTGGTTCAGACCTGGACTGAGAACCTTCTTGCAGCCATCTGTGGTGTCTCCAGGTCACCACAGGGAGAGTGCAGACAGGGTGGCAGCAGCTGGCACAGCTGCCAGGATTAGCGGGCCTGCTGCTGAATGTGTCAGAGATCAGGGATGTGTGCAGGCAGCTGGCTCTGGAGCCCTTAGTGCTGTCTGGTGTCAGCTGGCACTGACTCGGGGGCCTAGTGAGGTGCCAAGGCAGCTTGTTTCTGTAGCAGAAGTATGACTCATGCCAGGATCTGTCCTATCTTATAGCCTAGTGAGCCTGCAGTTGCCATCTACACAGCTGGGCCAGCCAGCCACTGTAGTCTGCCATGTCCAGTGTGCCACTGGGCAGTAAAGCGTTGACTCAGCAGCCCCGGGTTGTCCAAACCCTCACATTCCAAAGAAAAGTCTGGCCTGTGAGCTGCTCCTGGGAGATAACGTCTAAGCCTTCGGAATATCCTACCTAACAAGAGTATCTTTGTGTACCTGGAGCCTCAGTCCACATCAGGTCATCTACGCCAACACTGTGACTTACGGTGGGGGTTTTAGGCCAGCCTGCATCAGTTTGATCTCTGGGGAGCTAGAGACTGAGCAACTGAGGTCAGTTATGTGGGTGCTGCATGCTTTCATTACCATCTCCCAATAAAATCCCTGGACATCGAGGCTTGGGTGAGCATCCCTGGGTGGCAATGCTCCATGTGTCATCATATACTGTTGCTGGGAGAATTAAGCGCTGTCCATGTGACTCCACTGAGAGAGGACACCTGGAAGCTCATGCCTGGTCTCTCCTCGGTCCTGCCCTATAGTCCTCTTTCCTTGGCTGATTTTCATTTGTATCTTTCCACTGTAACAAACTGTAACTAAGACTATAACAGATAGAGTTCCATGAGTCCTTTTAGTCAATCTTTGAAACTGAGGGCTCTGAGGCAGCCTTGACTGTCCTGCAAGGCTCAGCATGGCCGCCTCCTACCAGCTGCTGACCTGTGACTGGGAGGTGCCCTGGCAATCTTCACTTGCAGGCAGTGCTGGGCTCCATCACACTGCAACTGCTATGTATGGGCACCCCCACCCTCTCCTTCTCAGCAAACTCCTTCCATCCACTTTGTTTTACATGTGGCTTTTGCTCAGTTCTGGTTAAGTTCTTCAGCTCTATAACTTTTAATCAGGGGCCAGATATTTTCACCTTTGCAGGCTGTGCAGTTTTTAGTTACTACTCAACTCTGCCATTAGAGTGTGAAAGGAGTCATAGACAATATGTAAATGCATGGCTGTGGGTGTGTTCCAATACAACTATTTATGGATGCTGAAGTCTGAATTTCAAATAATCTTCGTATGTTACCAAAGTGTTCTTTTGATTTTTTTCAACCACTAAAAAACGTATTCCAGTGGTTAAGATTTGACTCTCTCACCACCATGGTTTGAGTTTGTTTCCCGGCCAGGGAATCACACTACCCATCTGGTCTGTTGGTTGTCACACTGTGGTGGCTGCCTGTTGTTGTGATGCTGAAAACTATGCCACCGCTATTTTAAGTACCAGCAGGGTCACCCACGGTGGACAGGTTTCAGTGGGGCTTCCAGACTAAGAATAGGAAGAAAGGACCTGGACTCCCCAAAATTGGCCATGAAAATCCCCTAAAGTAGCAGAGGAGCATTGTCTGATACAGTGCCGGAAGAGGAGAGGATGGTGCAAACAAAAAGATTGGGCAGGATTCTGCTCTGCTGTACACAGGGTCGCCAGGAGTCAGAACCAACTCGACTGGCACCAACAGCAACTACAAAAAGGTAAAAACCATTCTCATCTCAGGGGCTATACAAACATGCAAGGGGCTGCACTTGGCCCACAGGCTGCAGTCTGCTGACCCGTGTCTTGAATTACTCATGACTCTTGACTTTGATTTCCAGCGAGCCCCAGAAGCCAGTGCCCTTCCCCGAGTGGCTGTGTGCACATGGTCTGCCGGACATTCTTCATCTCTGCAGCAGGCTGGAGTAGGCTCTTCTGACCCGGTTGGCTCTGGGTGGTTCCTCCCCTATGGGATGCTGACTTGGCTCAACATCGCAGGTGGCCTTTCCCCTGCCAAGAGGTCAGCCCAGAGCTTGATGCTCCCACCAGTTCTCTCCACCCCAAGCAAAGTGAAGGGCTCTGTGGTACCCAAAGATATCCATGTCCTCATCCCTAGAACCTGTGAATGTTATCTTACACGACGGAAGGAACTTTGCAGATGTGATTAAGGATCTTAAAATGGGGAGGAGATTATCTTATCCTGGATTATTTCGGTGAGCCCTCAATGTAACCACAAGTACCCTTCAAGAAGGAGACCGGGGAGTCAGAAAAAGAAATGTGGCAACGGAAGCCGAGACTGGAGTAAAGCGGCCCCAGCTGAGGAGCGCCGGCACCACCATAAGGCGGAAGAGGCAAGGAAGGTTCTGCCCTAGAGCCTGGAGGGCATACGGCCGGCTGACATCTTGACTTTGGACTTCCAGCCTCCAGAACTGTCGGGTGATAAACTTCTGCAGTTCTAAGGCCCCCTTTCGAGGGCCCCCGTTACAGCTGTCCTAGAAATAGAACATCCGTCTTTCCTTCCACTTTCTGGGCATTCCAGCCTCTCGCCCTGCTACTCTGACTTCTGCTCTTGCCTGTGGCCCACCTCTCTGTCCTCCACCGCCTCCTCCTGCCGAGGTCCCAGGGCCACCGGTCCCCAGCTGCTCGACGCCAAGGCGACGAATCTGGGGCGGCTGCGGGCACTGGACCTCGAAGGCACCCCGCGCGGTCCCACCACGGCTGGGGACGCCGGGGCTCTGGCGAGGCGCTCGCCGCGGTCAAGGCGCACACGCCCGTCCCGCTCCGTCTCCCGGGGTTCGGGGAACCTTCCCACGCCATCCCACGCCATCCCCGCCCTCCTCCCTCCCGGCGCGCGGGTAGCCCCGCCCTGCTCGGCGAGAACCTTGGCGGAGGAAGTCCCGCCCCCACAGACCCCGGAAGCGCCCTCTCCTGGGCTCTCATTGGCCTGCGCCGGGTAGGCGTAGTGCCTTTCGGGTAATGTAGTTCCCGCCATGCGCTGGGTGAGCCTGCCTGGCCAGGGGAGAGGGCGCGGGGCGGGCGAGCTCTGAGTCCCCAGTGCCAGCTCTGCCCCACGAGACTCCTTGTTCTGACGATGGGAGGGGCTGTGGAGGGGAGAACAGACTGTACCTGAAGGCCAGTGAGGAGCCCCTGGTGATGAGTGACTGCACCAGGTAGTGGCAATAGAGACAGCAGAGGTGCCTGGACTCTGGATGTGTTGCTTCAGTAGGACCAGCCCGGTTTCCTGATGTGAGGCAGTGAGAGACAGCTATCAAGGTGAACCTGGGTGTTTGAACTCAGCGGCTTGATGGATGGAAGTTCCATCAACTGAGATGTGGAAGTTGGTGGCTGGAGCAGGTTCCTGGGAGAAGATCTGGAGTGTGATTTTGGAGATTTGAAGTGTGATATATCCTGGTACTCCTGAATGGAGGCACTGTGTAGGCACTGGACCTGCAGCTCTGGAATTCTGCAGGATTAGGGCTGGAAATATCTAAAGGGTGAGCTCGAGAGGGGACTAGGATCAATGTGGAATGGATAAAGGATGGCGATGAATGCCCTGACAGGCTGGAGGAGGGGAGGCTGGAGGGGAGTAGGACCAGATGTCCTGACTAGGCAGTTAGATGGTGCTGGTGGGTGTCACTAGGCTGTCCTGAAGCCTGGGCCTATGTCAAGAGGCAATATAGAGGAGGAGTGGCAGGGAGTCAAGACTCCTGAGGGGCAGGTGGACCTGGGCACAGCTGTGGTGTGGTGGTGGTGGACGTAGGGGGTCACTGGGGCTGATTCGCCTGTCTGTGGGCTTGCCAGGCTTTTATATCTTCCCTCCTTGGGGGCTGTGGCTTTTCGTTCAGGGTTGCAGAGTTGTTCAGCAGCAGATGGGATCACCTGGGAGACAGGCAGGGACTCAGCCCAGTGTGCTGGGCTCTGAATGTGCCTCAGGAGGAGAGAGGAAGGTCATGGCAGGTGAGAGGGCAGCCTGTGCAAAGGCAGAGACAAAGGAAGGTGGGGTCTCAGAGGTCAGGGTGTGGTTCTGGGCGGCTAAATGTTGAAGCTAGGAACAGGGCCTGGTGGGGAGGTCTTCACTGCAGGGCTTTGGGATGCCTGTGGCAATGGGCCATTGAGGTGAGGGCAGGACTAGGGTGGAATAGGGTCGTGGCTGCTATGCCAGGCACTCTCAGGACACCACACGCAGAGTGGCATGGGGGAGGCCAGGGAATTGCCAAGGGGGGAACTGGTGAGGTTGTGCTGGGGATGTGGAATTACAAGCATGCTGAGCACCAAGAGTTACATGCCTGCTAGGTGGGAGGGCAAACCAAAGGGCCCTGGGAGCAGGTACTTGGCCCTCAGGGAGAATGGTTGGCGTAGGTTTAGTTGCATCTGAGAAGTATGATCTGGGGGACACAGAGCGAATTGGCTGGCAGGAGGCCTGTGTGCCTGGATCAGAACAAACGTAGTTGGCAGCCATCTGGTCACCTGCTTGTGGTTGCAGTGGGCCAGATGCAGAGTCCCGTAGTAACATGAGGAGAGAGGGACCAATGGCCTTGGGACCTGGGTATCCCCTCTAAGGTAGAGTTCTGGGGAAGAAGGTAGTATCACGATGTGTGTGTAGGTGGTTTCTGCCTCTGGGGAAATAGGATGTCGGTGGGAGATATGATAGGACCTTTCCAGGTCAAGGGCCTGAATGTGTCCATCTGTCCATATTTTGGTTGATTTTTCTGCCCACTCATCGACCCCAAAGATCAGCTGAACCCATCATTACAGGGTCTGGTGACATTTGAGAATGTGGCTGTGTATTTCTCCCAGGGGGAGTGTGGAGGCTCCTTAGTGTAACCCAGAGGCACCAGTACTGTGATGTTGTGTCGGAGAACTTTCAGCTCATTGGCTCGCTGGGTAAGTCCCTTACGCCCTCCCCCAGCATACTGACCACCTGCTGCCTTTTCCCCTGAGAAGTTCTGTCCATCCCAAAGCTGGACCACAGGAGCTGCCTTCTTCTCAGGTTAGCTGTGGTTGGAGCTATGGGTGCTGAGACTGGGCTGGTGCACTTCCTGTCTCTCTCTGAGCCGCCCTGTGAGTAGCCCTCATACCTGTTGCCTCAAGACTTCATAGGGTAGAGTTTGGGGGCCATGTCCTTCACAGGTGCCCACCTGATCCCCCCAATCTCAGCCTGTGCCCAGCTTGGCAACCCTGCTAGAGTCATGGCTCCTTTGTGCTACAGACTTGCCCCATCTTCTCTAAATGTTTGTGCAGGGCCTGCCATGTCCTGGCCAAACTTGATGTCTTACATACCATTTCCATTTAATGTTAGGTTGCTGGCTCTGTGGTCAGACAACACCAGGTCATGATGGGAAGCTTAGGCCACATGGTCAGCTGGTATCCCATGCTTTATTCTTTCCCAAAGGCTCAGCATGCTGGAAGCTGTTTCTCTAAAGTAGAATAGTTATCTGCAGAAGAAGATGGAGACTTGCTTCCAAATCTGAGAGATCTGTGCTGCAATTCTCCTGTTGCTGCTTCCTGGAGGCTCCATGTGGTGTCCTGATTTGCCACAGACACTTCAAGTATCATCGAGTCTGCTGGATCGTGAGGCCCAGGTGGTGAAGCAGACTGTACTGCAGGTGGAACCTGCTTCAGAGCCTTCTCTCCTTCTGGTTCCCACTTAAAACCAGAAGGATGGTTCAAAGCAGTAGATTCAGATGTGGTGTACGTTGCCTCCAAAATCCAAAAAGGCCTACCAAGCATTGTGCCTCTTTTTTGGTGGTCAGTGGTGTGAGGGGAGATTAGATGGGACATCTCAACCTACTCAGGCTGTTGAACCCCCAAGAGTGTCACTGAGGCGGCAGGCCCCTGAATTTTTGTAGGTTTTGTTTCCCACCCTCTCATTTACATGTCTTACTAAAGTATCTAAAATACTTGCTACTTCTTGCTCACCAGATCCACTCAGCGTAATTTATCAATGAAGTGGACCAATGTGATGTTTACGCAGTGTCAAGATGGTCAAGATCTCTGTGGGCTATCTTAGGCAGAGAGCAGCAGCATGTAGTCCTGAGGCAACAGTCTGGAGGTATACTGTTGGTTCGGTCCAAGCAGGTAAAAGCAAATGGTTTCTGGTGTTCCTTGTAATTTGTGTGGAAGAAAAGGCACCAGCCAACTTCAGTAGCTGCATGCCGAGTGCCAGGGGTTCTGTGAATTTCTTGTAATAAAGATACTAAGTCTGGAACAGCAGGTACAATTGGAGTCACCACCAGATTAAATTTACGATCATTCACAGTCATTGTCCCGGATGTATCTGACTTCTGCACAGGCCCAACTAGTGGGTTCAATGGGAATGTGGTGGGTCCCGCCACCCTTGCTTCTTTCAAGTCTTTGATAGTGGCATTAATCTCTGCAGTTCCTCCAGGGATGCAATCTTGCTTCCGGTTTACTGTTTTGGCAGGGAGTGGAAGCTTCAGGGGCTTCTATTTAGCCCTCCTTAGCATAATGGCTCTTACCCCATGGCTCAGCAACGTGATATAGGGATTCTGCCAGTGACTAAGTGTGCCTGTTCCAATTATATACTCAGCAACTGGGGAAGTGACCAGAGAGTGGGCCTGTCGACCAACTGGGCTCACTGGGAGTTGGACCTGAGCTAATACTCATTTATCACCTGACCACCGTAGGCCTCCACTTTAACTCCTGGGCCACTGTGTTTTTGAGTTTCAGGAGTTAGTGTCAGTTCAGAGCTTGTGTCTAGTAATCCTGAAGGGTCTGAGCACAACCTTTTCCCCAATTCACAGTCACTCTAATAAATGGTTGCAGGTCCCTTTGGGGAGGGCTTGGAGGAAGATTGATGGTATATACTTTTGACAATAGGGCAGGGTCCTTTCTCAAGGGGACCTGGCCTCCTCTCCAGGGTTCTCGGCTGTGAATTGACTCAGGTCTGGAAACTGAGGCTGTGACTCTCCACCGTGGCCAACTAAGTCAGGCTTTTGGCACCAGATGTGGAGCCTTTATTAATACATAGATCATGCACTGCTCAGTTAGGCTGACCATGTCTTTTTTCCCAAGGAACACTGTAATCAACTGACCTGCCAAAGACCTCCACGGGCCAAGGCACTCTGATTGCCTGTACATCCTGCTGCCTGTTAAGGCGATGTGCCACCTTGTAATTGGTAGTTAAGTGCTGCCACTTGGCCTCTGCTACTCATGGGCCCATCCCATGGAAATCAGAGAGCCCATCTCAATGGCAGCATCTCCTGCAGTCATAGCTGCTCACGAAAGAGCAACCACAGGGATTTTCCAGGCTGCAGGTCCCCCTCGCACTAATGTATTTTTCAGTTACTTTGGTGAAGGGAATATCTTCTTTTTTTTTTTTGTGGAAGATTAGCCCTGAGCTAACATCTGCTGCCAATCCTCCTCTTTTTGCTGAGGAAGACTGGCCCTGAGCTCACATCCATGCTCATCTTCCTCCACTTTATATGTGGGATGCCTACCACAGAATGGCTTGCCAGGTGGTACCATGTCTGCACCTGGGATCCGAACCGGTGAACCCCAGGTCTCCGAAGCGGAATGTGCGCACTTAACTGCTGTGCCACCGGGCCGGCCCCGGGAATGTCTTCTGATCTTGTGGAACGTAGTTGGGGGATGGTGGTGTCACTTTTCTGGCTGCCGTGACAAATTACCACAAATCTAGCACTCTATACAACACAAATATAGTATCTTACAGTTCTGTGGGCAGAAGGCCAACATGGGTCTCCCTAGGCTAAAATCAAGGTGTTGGCGGGGCTGTTTCTTTCTGGAGGCTCTTGGGGAGAATCCATTTCCTTGCTCACTTAGGTTTAGAATTCAGTTCCCTGTGGTTGCAGGACCGAGGTCTCCATTTTCTTGCTGGCTGTCCACTGAGGGCCATTCCCAGCTTCTGCAGGCCACCTGCATTCCTTGGCTCTTGGTTTCCTTCCTCCATCTTCAGAGCTAGTAATGGCAGGTTGGGTCCCTTTCATGCTTTGAGTCTCTCCTACCTCTTCGTTCATTGTTTCATCTCTCTCACTCTTCTGCCTTTGAGGGCCCATGTGATTATGGGCCCACCTGGAAAACCCAGGATAATCTTCCTATTTTGAGGTCAGCTGGTTAAAAACCTTAACTGCATCTTCAAAATCATTTTTCCCCATAAGGTACCATCTCCACAGGTTCCGGGGACTAGGGCACAGACATCAGTATTCAGCCTCCCATAGGAGTGCGGGTCCCATGTGATAAACCCAGTCCAACATGCCTGTCTCCCTAAGCCTTTGATTCATTCCTCCACGTCATGCCAGGGCAGCTCAGGCATCTCAATCTCATTAACTTCAGGCCACAATTGAATCTAAGTTGTTAAAGTTGTTAAACCACCTCCAGCTGCTCAAGCTAAAATAGCGAATCTGGAAATTGTGGTAAGTGCGCCAATACCAGTGAATTCAGCCCAATTCGTTGAATTTGCTCTCCTTGACCTTCGAATCTACTCCCACCCATTTTCCCCAGATTTCTGCTGATATATGCACATATTAGGAAAGTCCTGAAGTTGCTTGGTGGGTGAGCCATTTCCTCCTGAGTCATAGTATGTGACTCTCCCCACGGAGTGTGCTGAGATTTGATCTGGCTACGGGTTGGCAGTAGTGGGAGGGGATTGTGCTGGGTCTTGAAGAGAACAGGCATCTACTTCAGTGAGGTCGTCAGGGGCCTTCAAGCAGAGGAAGGGTGGTCTCCGCAGGCACTGGAGAGCAAGCTCCTCCTGGTGGGGGAGGCTCAGAGTGACTTGGGAACTCAAGGTTGTCATATTTGTCTGGATCCAATCAGATGCTCCCTCTCTGAGTGTCGCTGTCCCATTCTTTATCAATCAATGCCCTAAGTTTCACATGACAAACTTGGCAAGACCTATTTAAACTGCACAACTGAATTTTCTGTTTGATTTTCAGTGATGTCAGCCCTGTAGCTACAAGAAGTCCGCCTCCTTTAGGGTGTCACAGAGGCTCTCTGTTTCTCAGACTGTGGCTTGAACTGAGAGCTTCAGAACTCGCATGTACTTCCTTCTGTATGTGCTCCTGTGGACTTAGGACACTGTTCACACCACAGTCCCTGCAGTTGTCATTACTGCCAGAAAAGTCAAGGGCAGGAGCCACTTGGGCTCCCAAGGCACGTGCATCAGTTGGCACTTGATCACAATCAACCAGGGGTGATAGTTTGCTTAATTGATACCACTGTGTGCCCTGGCTCACTATCTTCCTATTTCCTTCTGGCAAGGAGCTCTCCATTGTGCTCAGGCCCAAAGACACAGCAAAACCAATCTCCAGATTCCATCTTTGCAGGCCATATCCTGGGACCATTCCCAGTACCAATTCTGTATCAATTTCAGACCAGTCAGCAGAGAGGAACCACCCAGTGCTTTGAACAGAACAAGTTTAATGTGAAGAATTCTTAAGTACACCGGGGGTAGGAGTGGTGAGTAGAGGGGCTGGGCGCTGGAGAAGCTGTGAGTGCTGTGGGAGAAGTTGCACGGACTGCACCGGGCCCCAACGGGAGCCCAGCAAGTGGGAGCAAAACCTGTTCATCCTGCAGTTTCTTTCCAGTGCCCTCTACTGACAAAGCTTAACATCATGCAAGCTGGCGAAGGGAAATGAGTTAAAGAATCCAGGTCCATTTTCACAAAGCAGGCAAATGGGTGAATCTGGGGCTGAGAGACAGTGAAGTGAAGACCAGAACGGTGCCTCTGCAGAGCTGTCCAACACTGACCTACTCTGCCCGTGACACAGTCACACACACCTCTGCTGTGTCACACTTGAATACCAGCTCCTCCGTGGCAACTGCTTTTTCCTGGGACCAGATACTTCTTCACAGTGCTTGCTGTCACCAGCAGCCACTGCCCTGCTGAAATCCTTTGCAGAGGAGGGACTTGGAGACCCTGACTCTGCTCCCTCTTCTGCCCCCATATTTGTGTCCTCATCTCTGTTAAGGTCTCTCACTTTCTATCGTCTGGCTGGACCTTGGCCTGCAGGGTCAGCCCTTCTATCCAGACCCTTCCCCCTGGAACCTTCCATATTCCCATGGACTCCTTCCTAAGTGTGTTGACATGCACTGGTGGTAACCTCCAATCCAGCACTCAGTTAGCTGGCATTTCTCTGCTTTCAGGTTGTTAGTGTAGAGTGGAGGTTGAGGAAGAGCCTCCTGAGCAGGCGAAGAGCCACAGGGGCCCCCATCACAACAGGCCCTTGTGTGGGGGGAGTGTGGCATGGACTTCCAGGCCAGCTTGGGCCTCATCCAGCAACAGCCACTCCCCATATGGGGAGGCTATGGAGGAGTGCCTGGGAGACCCTCCCCACAGCTCCAGTCTCAGGCAGCACCCAGGGCTCCACACTGGACAGAAGGCCTTCCGATGCAGCATCTGTGGGAAATCTTTGCTCAAGGGCTAGCTCTCCCCTCCTCAGCCACCTAAGGTTCCCACTGAACGGAGATCCTGGAGATGCCCAACAGGCAGAAATGCCTTCAAGGAGAAATTGTCTCTTATTACTCAGAGAAAAAGTCACACTAGAGAAACGTCCCATATGTGTAAGAAGTGTGGGAATGCCTTCAGCCACCCGTCTAAACCAAACACACACCAGAAAGGTCACACTGCAACAGAACGTGACAAGCGCAGTGAATGTGAGAAAATATTCAGTCACAAATCCATGCTTGTTCAGCACCAGAGAGCTCACACAGGGGAAAGGCCTTCTGAGTGCAGCAAATGTGGGAAAGCCTTCAGCCCTGCATCTACCCTTATTCAGCACCAGAAAGTTCACACTGGGGAAAGGCCATGTAAGTGCACTGAATGTGGGGAATTCTTTAGCCAAAACTCCAGCCTCATTCGGCACCAGAGAGCTCACAGTGGAGCAAGGCCTATGAGTGCATCGAATTTGGGACAGCCTATGGCAGACACTCTTGTCTCAGTTGGCACCAGAAGGTTCACATGAAAGAATGGCCATAAGAGTGCTGCCAGTGACACTTCATTGAAATGTCCACACTTGTTTGGTACCAGAAAGTTCTCAACACAGAAAGGCCTCACATGTGCAGCACATCTGAGAGCTTTTAGCTGTATCTCTAAACTTGTTTAACAACAGAAATTGTAGGATAGCCTTCAGATATCGCTCCAACCTCGTTCAGCACAAGAAAGTTCACAGCCCAAGAAAGCACTTGTGAGTGCAGTGAATGTGGAAAACCTTCCCACCAAAGCACCAAACTTGTTCTACATTCAAGGTTTTGTGCTGTAGAAAATCCTCTTTAGTGGACCCAAAATACCTCGTTCCCAAAGTGGTAGTAATGGCAAATGATCCTGATTACTTGCATAGAATGACCACTTTATTCTGCATTAATGTGCTGTCCAAATCCTGTGGTCAAGAAATAACCACTAAGCAGATGCTGCCCATCATACTGAAAATGGCAGGAGATCACGTAGGGAATGTCCATTTCGTCGTGGCTAAATATCTACAGAAAATTGGACCAATTCTAGATACTGAGTCTTTGCAGGAGGAAGTTAAGCTGGAACTACAGAAGTTAGGCCAAGATGAAGACATGGAGGTCAGATACTTTGCACAGTATTGGTAAGTGTGCTTGCGTTGACGTGATGAGGAATAGGAGGGAAAAGACTTTATTAAATTCTTATCACAGATTTCTAGTCAATGTGTTCTTAGACTGGTGGAGAAAAAATGGAGAACCTTCACAACTTCATCCAAACAAATGGCAACAACTAATAAGAAATCAAATTTCAGTGATTCAATTCTTTCTGAAGATGAAATGATATTGTTTTTTACTCATCTTCCTTGTTGGGATAATATTTAGAACCATCCTTGTTGTTTGTGACCAATTCCTGACACTCGATATAGTCATTTCTTGATTGTTTCCTAATCATTTATCTGGCACCATCTGGGCTCCTCCTGCATCTTTTCTTTTCTTTCTTTCTTTCTTTCTTTTTTTTTTTTTTTTTGAGAAAGATTGGCCCTGAGCTAACATCTGTGCCCATCTTCCTCTATTTTATATGTGGGAAGCCTGCCACAGCATGGCTTGATAAGCAGTGCATAGGTCTGTGTCTGGGATCCAAACCAGCAAACCCCAGGCTGCTGAAGCAGAGCATGCAAACTTAACTGCTGTGCCACAGGGCTGGCCCATCCTCACTCTTTAATCAGGCCCCATCCAGTTAATTTTCGACCAAGTGTGGATGGGTTTGGACCCAGACAGGGAGCGGAGTGATTCTCTTGATGTTTACATATATCCGTGTGTCTCTCCATCATTTCAAAGTTAAATGTACATGATTTAGAATAACTTATTTTATAAACACTCTATTTGGGAGACACACTGAGATTTAATTAGTGAAAACCACATTTTTCCTGGATAGTGATGGTCTGTGT